TAGTAGTACATTTGCATTACTATGTTAGAAAAAAAAAACTTTTGGTAAAACTAAAAGTTTCAGTATTAGGGAATATGTGTTTTATACATTTGTTTTTAATCCGCCGCTTTGTAGGTTGTCAGTTTTTAATATACTCTTCTTGTATTCTTAGTTACTGATAAACATCAATTCAAACCAGAACAGATGTTATACAGATTTCGCTATGATGATGGAACCTTTTATCCAAGAAATGAGATGCAGGATGTGATTTCAAAGGTAACAGTCTCTCCCACAACCCTTTATCAATGGAAGAATTCATGTTGTCATACTTAAACAAGATTAATGGCTGTAGGGAGATTTCAAAAGATTCTTCTGGTATAGAAAAATTTTAAATGACATGCATAAGCAAGCTTCTTGATTCTAATTTTAGAGCATTGTTTTTATCCTCTTATCTGGTTTTAAATGGAAGTAGCGCAGGTGCATCACTCAGAAGGTAATATCCATCGAAAATTATTTCACAGGTAGCAACAAGTAGTCATGATACTTGAATAAATTTAATAAAAACACAAATATGTTAAATTCATGTAAGATCTTTTCTTTGTACACTTGCAAAAATTTCTATTGACATATAATGATCAAGCACCATGATGGATTTTGCTGCAAACATTTATCTTCTGTTTGTGTTGTATCTTGAAATTTTATATTTTAAGAAAAATAATTTTAAAAATCCTTTATATATGTGTGATATGTGTACGAAAAATTCATAGCACCATTTAACCCTGTTTTCAATGATTTAAGTCATATTATTTTCATGATGTAATGTTAACATTTGAATAATTTAGTGTAAGACAGTGGATGATTTCGGAATGTTGACTATGAATCTGTTTATATCAAAATTTCATTGGTGCGTCCTTTGAGTGATCCTACTTGCTTTTGACATGTCTTTATTTTACAATAGGGCGTACGATTATATTGCCGCCTTCATAGTCTGTTTACTCCAGTGATAAGGTGAGTCTAGTTTCTAAGTTCTGGCCAATTTAAATGGAAATACTTATATTGCATATTAAATAGTATTAAGCTGGAACTTAGCTTATTTTGTTTTTCTTCCAAAAGTGGAAGTTTTATTTTTAAGTAACAATTTATCTTCAAACATTGCTGAATTTTCTGAGGCTCTAATTATACAGTTTCTTCTACTCTTTTTATTCTGATTTCTAAAATTATTTGCCATTAATTCATAGTAAATTACAGACTTGATAATGAAATGAGCCACCTTCAGCCAGTATAATAAAGAATAGGTGACTGGTTGGGAGATAATTTGGAAATACTGTTTACTATAAATATTTACCATTTATGATGACTTATTTATTAACTTTTCATTAAACTATGTAATTGAATCTTGGACGTCTATTTTATTTCACAGTGTTTGCTTTTAATAGTCTTTTATCCAAAGAAAAAATTCTGCACTCGAGAATTAAGAATTAATTTGGAGTTAATAAATGTAATTTTTTCATTTTTTTTCTGTACTATATTTTTAATTCTGAAGAGATATGATTTTTTTTAAAAAAGAGAACTCAGGATTAATTTTCAGCTTTGAGTTTTGTGTTATGGTTACTAACACAGGATATTTTTTGTGCTTTTGTAATATGCACTGATATACTCCAACTGATGTAATGTAATGTTAAAGTAATTTCAGATGGCCAGATATCATTTGGACTTTATCAACCAAAGCATTTTTCAGAACAAAAAATGGATGTACTATTTCTGAAGTAAATATAGAGGCTTTTCAGTCCTGGCTATAGAATCCAAATGTTTGATGGACAGTTTTTCTATTTCTCATTCTGGTTTCCAATTCCAAGGAAATGCAGAGCTAAAACAAAAAAATTATTCCAAAAGTTGCTGTTTAAGTGTTGGAAACCCAGTAGGATCTTACCTATTAACTCCTGAAAGTGCCCTGGCCACAGGGAAACGGAGGTGAAAAAGAACCAATATTTGTTGATTCTCTGCTATATTCCTGGCACGGACGACCTTGTAAATATTTGGGACAACTTAATGCTAAAAAGATGATTATTTAAATCAATAGCATGTGGATACTTAAATTTTTTTTCTCCTTACAAAAAATGATACTGGATTTTTTTTCATGTCATCTGTGTGTGTATGCGTGTATATATATATAGGTTTTGTATGTGAGAAAATGGTGTTCTGAAAATATATTTTAGCCACATGGGATTTTTTTTTTTTATCAAAAAAAGCTCTGAAAGAGCTGATAAGAAGGAATTGTTCTTTGGCTAGAAATGACAATGGTTTATGAGTTGTCTAGGGTAAATTTATGGGGAGAAAAAAAACCGTAAAACAGATGGAATGTAAGATAGTCATGCTTTTAATATGAACTCAGCTTATGAAAAGCAAAATCACTTGGATGAAGAACCCGCAGACCCACATGTGGTCTGTAAATGACGACCCTGCCCTTGATGCTCATGGAAACAAGATGAACTTGGTCATGAGGAATCAGAAAGAGGGAGATGAGTTTAAAGAGATTAAAAAAAAATCTGCTGTTGATTACTGGTTAACCTAGTGCATTTATTATTGAAATCTCAGAAATTTCAATCATGTTTCTGGGAGCTTTTTATGAAAGGGGATGAAATGATGTCAGTGTGAATTGTAAATTACCGAGAGGCTAAAGAACTGTGAATATAGTTAGTAATTATTCGTCACATCAAGTTGTTTGCAGTTTGGATTTTTTGACATTTTGAAAAGACTGTCGTTTTCTCATTCCCTTTTGATCCAGGCATGCAAAATAAATGAATTATAGATGTCTGCCCTTGGGGCTTTGTTCTGATCATGAGCACTTTGTTGGCATCTAACTAGACTTTGAAAGATCTCTCAGATCTGGGAAGTCCACAGAAAGGAGAGTCTGACGTGGAGACCCAGTTATTCCCTTGGTTCCCTGGGGATGTGGTGTCACCAAGTCCATGCTCTGATCAGACAAAATGAAGGACAGGGTTCTCGGTGTGTTTACCTCTGGACACGCCTGAGGTCTCCTGCTACAGCTGAGCCAAACAGTCCTCCAGGGCAAATTCTGCCTTCCTGGAGCATTCAGGAGCAGAAATACAAGGGGTGGCTTTATTCACCACCTTTTGGCGAGATTTTTTTGTAGAATCTATCTTGACTTAAAGGGAAGGAATTCTATAAATGAGATATTGTATTTCCAGTTATTACCAGATAACAGAGCAGTGATAATTGATTTGGATATAAGAAAATGTGCAAGAAGAAATGTCCCGTTTGTATCTGTGTGGGTTTCTTCTCCTGGTGTGAGCTGACCAAGGAGTTTTCAGGTGTTCTGTATACTTTGTAAAGCTCTCTTATTTACACATAAGTGGCACAGTTGATTCAAATTACATTAAGAAAGCTTTTCTGTTGCACACTGATACTAAATGAAATGCTTCCTTGTGCTTCCGTATCCTCTTGCTTAGTATTTTTGGTTTCTTTTTCCTTCATAGGGATAAAGATTACCACTTAAGAACCTACAAATCTGTCGTCATGGCCAACAAGCTGATAGACTGGTTAATCGCACAGGTAAATAGACAAACAGAAGTGGCTGAGTTACGGTCATTGCTGCTTTAAACTTCGAGGTACTTCTCAAAACTCCCCACTTGCCAATGAGACACAGTGAAATAACTTGACCAAGTTCGTATGAAACAGAGTTAGGAGTTGAACCTAGGTAACCTGACCTCAGAGCCTTCACACTTAATTTTTATTCAATATTGTCTTTCAAAAGGAAGATGTGTCTTAATTCAAAAATATCAGTTAAGAGCCATCAAAAAAATGGCCATTTGAATTTCACTGAAGATTAGCTATGTGCGTGCACTAAAATTCTTTGCCTGTTTAGTTCACTGATTTGTTTTAAAGGATCTGGGTTTTAGTCTTAGCAAGTTATTCGAATCTCCCTGTGCCTTTTTCTCTGTCAGATCATAATTGTGCTTTGATAATATGAGCTTTAACATCCACCCTCACACATTTTAAACAGGGAAGCATGAAATTTGTTATTATTGCGCTGGGTCTCAGAATGCAGGAGCTGACAGCTGGTATTGAGAAAATGTTATTTGTGTATCAGGGCATCTACCTCATTGTAACAGACACCCAAATATTAATGTATTTCAATGTTTTACCGTACTGGATCAACTAACAAAAAAGTCAAATATTTTCCAAAGATTAAAGAAAAGGCTAAGAAAACTGATATCCACTTTGACAGAACTTACTGTTTTGAGGAAGGGGATACTGGTTAAAATGTCATTCCAAATGGATAATTGAGACAATTCACATTTTTGTTATTGAAGAAAATTGTCTACTTCCTTTGTTACAAGTGGATGATAACATTTGATACTCAGTCATAGAAATGTTTACACTTTTGCTTCAAATATTAATGTTTAATTCACATTGATTCATCTGTGCCCCTCATTTTTGAGATTTTTATTATTTAATATCAACTTCTATCCTAGATCACCTATTTTTGCATTTTATAGCACTTGAATTTACTTTATTTAGAAATTAAGATCTTAGATTAAACCAAACAGTTCCTTTTAGATAAAATCCGAATTCGTATGTCCCACGGGTTTACTGGTGTCCCAGCCTTTTACAACACTATGGTCTCTGTGTGTCACTGGAATTGGCTCTGTATTTGGTAACACAATTGGAATTTCGCATAGAAATTGTACTGTTACAGAATTCACACGAACTTGTACTATTGTTGATTATGTGAGAAAACTGAAGAAAGATTTTTTTTAAAGCAAAAGCTCGTACTGAATAAACATTTAAAGTTCTGACTCAGAAAGTCAGTTATTAACTTTTTTGTTTTTTCATTTTGGCACATTTACTTTCCAAGTGTGAACATTAGAAGACTAGAATAAGTTAAGAAAAAGTTGCTCAAAAAACCAGACCAAATTGCAGTTCTTTTTTAATTCAGGCTTTCTTAGTGGTCTGTTGGGACAATATGTGTAGAAATTGTACGCAGTAGAAATTGAAATGGGCTGGGATTCAGGTAACTTGGTGTCTGATGACAGCTCTGTTGATAATCAGTTATACAAACTTGGATGAATCTATTAATCTCTGTAGGTTTTGTTTTCACAGCTGTTAACTATTTACTGGAATAGTTGTACTTGTCACCTCTTCTCCATCACTTAAGCTTTATGATTCTGATGGTGTAAGACTTACCCACATGCAGGTCTCAGACATAATTAACTCTTAGTGCTTGGATTCAGATTAGGACAACATGGGCTGGCTTTAAGGAGGAAGACATGATAATAGAATGATGAGTTCAAGTTCTTCCTCTAATAGAAATAAGAGATTTTTTTTTAAAAAGTGAGGGTCTCTTTCCACCAAGGCTCTCAAGTGATAATAAACCTTAACCTCTAGTGTTGACCAGGACACTGAATTGATCCAGACAGCTTAAGAGGACAAATGAACTGGCTCCAATGTGATAGTCTGTACGTTGTTTGGAGAATAGCCTAGATCTGACAGGTTTTCCCTTGTTCTATAGTCATGTTGTGTAATACCGTTGTTTCTGCTGAATTTCTCACCTGCTGTCATGCTGCTTCTCATTTAATGGTTTATAAAGAAATAACTTCCTCCATAAAGTTGGCTCCTAGTGTGACAAGTGCATTCGTGTGCTTCTAAAACATCATTTGATTCACAGAAGTTGTAATTTGTTTATGGATCAATCATATTTTGAAATTAAATAATGCTTTTCTTGTTCACATTCAGAGCAGTTTTTGTTATGTCTTTTTTTTTTTTAATTCTCAGCAGTTCTATAGGGCACAAGGAGAGATTTTAAAGGGCACACGGATACCAAAACATTTTAGTTGTACTTTTTACACCATTATGTTCAATAAAATATTAGCCTGGCCAATATATCAATTGAATCATTAACCTAATGTCAGCGATTATTAAACAAGCTCTTATTGTAAATATAACATTTAAGCAAGTGCTTTGATGATTAAAATAAAACAAACCAACAAAACAGAAAGGAGACACGGTTCCTGCCTTCAAAGGACTGTTAGTCAATTGGGCTAATTTTCGTGTATCCTCTAAGATTCTGCTCCAGCATCATCTCCGCCAGTAAACTTTGCTGCGTCCTCCAGACTGGGCTCAGCGTCGTCTTCTGTGGTCCCAGTTCCCTGGGTGTATCTGTCTTAGCCAACACCCCGTTATAGTGAAACTGTCCACATGTTTCTTAGGGAAGGGACCTCTTTAACCTCTTTGTACCAGCACTTAGTATAATGCTGGTACCCTCTTGGGTAACATGACTAAATTGGACAATGGTGCTTATTATATACCATGTGGTAAGTTACTAAATTCTTGACCAAATTTGAATTACTTGAGGGCAGGCAAGTGTTTTGTGTTTGAGTATTTTACATATATTATTTCTAGCATTTGGCCCATTACGTGGCAAAAAAAAATCTTTTGAAGGAGTGCATAAAAATTACTTAACAGCTAGATTTTGAAAAGGGCACGGACGCATTGTCTGAAGATACAGATTACCAATGCCTTGTTAGTTTACAGGAGGATTAGTGAGGGTTGGAGTTGTCACAGCACGAGGTGGCACTTGTCTTGGTCCTTGATAGATAAACAGGTAGAATTTAAATGTGTAGAGGGCAAAGAGAGGGAGCTGTAGGAATGGATGAATTCATGAGTGAAAGCAAGGATGGAAGTAAGCACAGAGAACTTGTCACCGAGTCCACGCTTGCACTGCTCACCGCGAGACAGGCCAATAAATCAAGAGACGAGTTGTCGGGGCGAGGAATATCAGCTTTTTTTGGATAGCCAGCAGACCAAGAAGACGGTGGACTAGTGTTCCAGAAAACCATCTTACCCAAGTCAGAATTCAGGCTTCTTTTATACTAAGGGGGAGGAGGTGTTTTGGTTGTTGCAAACTTCTTGGTGTTGGAATCCTTCATTCTTGCATCTCTCCACATAGGTCAGGTCATGATGTTCCTGTAAACCTCCAGTAAAACAAATGTTATTCTCTGTTCTGCAGTTTTTTAAATCTCTATATGAATGGAAAAGTGTTACACCTTTAAAGGTCAGAGCCTTGAGAATGGGCTCTCCTATACATTTCAGGCTTTAGGCAACATTCTTAACTTGTAGCCAAAGCAGTAGAACACAAAGGTTGAAGTGAAAGAAACAGATGCATATGGAGTCAGATTTGTTCTTCCCTATTGTAAGTTCAGGCAACACTAGGGGGCCAACTTGACTGGAGCGATGGTGAGGGTGTTTGGAAAATGGAGCTGGAAAGGTAGAATGAAGCCAGGGTACCAGAGGCCTGCAAAGCCCAACCAAAATCTGTGGTCTTTTATGATTATGAAAGAAAGAGAGTCAGTTTAAAGTTTTGGAACATGAAATTCCTGTGTAAGAAAGTTAAATTCTGTAACAGCATATGTTGAAGAAAGAACAGGAACTAAATTATGGCAATTTAGAAGTGAGATGAAGAAACGCGAGATTAGGGTGCTAACACAGACATGAAGGAGAAGCCAGAGCGAAGAGAGGATGGATTTGGCAGAGAGCTGCACCTAAGAGCTAAAAGACAGGACTAGGAAAAATGAGCTAATATGTGAGAAAGCGCTTCTTAAACTGCCAAACGTACAACTGTAAGGTGATGTAGACACATACACACAAATGCACACATACACACATACAGTCAGAGGGCAGACTGTATATGAAGCCATACTTAAATAAATAAAATAGGTGTTTTCTAAATAAAAATCATAAGGTTGCATCAGGCCTTCTGGTCAGCATATGAGCTGATTATTATTTTTTTTTTGGCAAGGTAGTGAAAGAGAAGCTTGCATTTGCTGGCTCAGGCTAGCAGCATGCTCTTAGGGTCTCAGGAGTCACCCTAGATTAGTAGGTTTCTTTGGGGGTAACAGAGCAAGGCCATTTGGTGGGAGGGAAGGGATAACAGAGACTGTGCAGAATGACTTTTGCTTAGCAATCTTCCATTGGCAAGTTTTCATATATAGAGTATTTTCTTTCATAATTGGGATATAAGATGGAAATAAGAGAAAAGGATCACTTGTGGCAGTGATAAACTTCAGTTACTTATATATTTTCATGTTTAATAAAACCTGGTTTTTCCACAAGTATTAAATCTTTTTTTAAATTTAATGTCAAAAGAAGATATTTTCAAAATCAAGTTAATGTTTTATAAAAATGAGATGCATCGTGGGCTTATGAGAGCAGCGTACACCCTGACAGATGCACGGCCGTGTCGGCACAGGGCTGGGAACGTCACAGGTAGAACCTCTGGTTGCCTGTTAACTTATACCGTGCTTTTGTGGTTCGCAGGGGGACTGCCGCACCAGAGAAGAGGCAATGATATTTGGCATCGGACTCTGTGACAATGGATTTATGCACCATGGTAGGGATTTTTATTCTGGAAGCTTACAGATATGTTCCACTGTTTTTTGTTTTGTTAGGACACACTGGGAATTTCTCAGTGTTCCAGCTAAGTCATTTAGAGCCGAGCCAGCAAGACTGTCTGGGTCTTG